TAAAGGGCTTGCCTGTATGCTGAGTGTTCTAGATTTTAGTCCCTAGTACTACAAAAACAAATCCCAAAACAAAACAAACAGAAAACTACAACCCAAAACAGAAAACAATGTAACTGTAAATAAAGAGCATCACCAGAGTTTATTTCTATATTCACAATGATGAAAAATACTAAAAGCATCTTAAATTATGGAATTTGCTGCTGGACAAGTGAAATAGAATTAAAATAGATTTTATAGCCTAACACAACCTGGGAGACCACCAGATCAAATACCATTGTCACATAGATGAGAAAAGTTAGGACACAGTGGTAAGCATCTTTCCTGAGGGAGCTGATTGGTAGAGGGGCCTGAAGGCTATCCAGTTCTTTTTTGTTTTTTCCTGAAGTTTTGTTTTGTTTTGTTTTTTGGTTCCAGTCGTGGGGCCTGAACTCTGGGCCTGGGCGCTGTCCCTCAGCTCTTCAGCTCAAGGCTAGCGCTCTACCACTTGAGCCACAGCGCCACTTCTGGCTTTTTTTTTTTTCCTGCTATGTGCTGTTGAGGAATCGAACCCAGGGGCCTCATGCATGCAAGGCAAGCGCTCTACCACTGAGCTACCTTCCCAGCCCACTTTTTTTTTTTTTTGCTGGTCATGGGACTTGAACTCTGGGCCTAGGTCCTTAGTTCTTCAGCTCAAGACTAGTGCTTTACCACTTGAGCCACAGCACCATTTCCGGTTTTCTGATGGTATATTGGAGATAAGAGTCTTACGGACTTTCCTGCCTGGGCTGACTTTGAATTGTGATCCTCAGATCTCAGTCTCCTGAGTAGCTAGGATTACAGGCGTGAGCCACTGGCACCAGGTAGTCTCTAGGACTTTTAGGCTAAGTCTGGCCTCATACTGTGATCATATGATCTCTGCCTTCAAGTATCTAGCATTACAGGCTTGAGCCATCATCCATCTCAGTTATTTTTTCACTATGGTTTCCCACTTTGCCACATACGTTGTATGTTACAATTTAGGAGTGACTTCTTTTAAAAAGTTGTAAGGTCTTTGAGTTTGGGAGCACATGTGAAAGAAAAAAAATTTAAAGTACAGTTTAGGTTTCTTCCACACAAAAGCATATTTATCTATCTATCTATCTGTCTGTCTGTCTGTCTGTCTATTTAAAGTACACTTTAGGTTTCTTCCACACAAAAGCATATCTATCTATCTATCTATCTATCTATCTATCTATCTGTCTGTCTGTCTGTCTGTCTGTCTGTCCGTCTGTCTATCTGCCATAAGCCAGGCACTGGTGGCTCACACCAGTAATCCTAGCTACTCAGGAGGCAGAGATCTGAGTATCATGGTTCAAAGCCATCCTGCGCTGGAAAGTCTGTGAGATTCTTATCTCCAATAAATCTAGAAAACAGGAAGTGGTGCTGTGGCTCAAGCTGTAGAATGCTCTCCTTGAACTGAAGAGCACAGGGACAGTGCCCAGGCCCAGAGTTCAAAGCCCCACCACCGACACACACACACACACACACACACACACACACACACACACGCACACACATGTAGTGTGTGTGCGTGTGTGCGTGTGTGTGTGCCATAGATTGCCTGGAAAATAATAATGAAAGTATTGTTTCATGATAGCCACTTATCATTTGCGAATTATATCCTTGAAGAGTATATTATAGGGAACGAATGGAAAATGATCTGGTGACATTTACTTTCAGCACTCTGCCCCTGAGCCACACTCCCAGCCCCTATAATCTGGCCATTATTACAAGTACCATCACTGGGAGTTACACCTTTGTACAGACACCTCTGTTAAAAGACCAAGTCCTACTCTCTGCCCTTTGTTCTCTCTTCCTGTGTCCCTGCAATGTCCCAGGCAGTCTGTAGGGCCAAGCAGAACTAAATACCTGGGGGTCTGCTCTGTAGGAGCAAACCTGGAGGCAGTGATGTGTGGGGATGGGATCATGTAGGTGTGCTGATGGTGTTGGGGATAGAGAAGGCCCTCTGCAATGGGACTTTCAAGCTGAGACCAGGAGCTGATACTGAGGTAACTGTGTGGATAGTCAGGTAATCACTTCTCTGTTCTAAATTGACTGGGGTTAAAAGCAGTGATACCCAGTTGGCTGTAAACTCTGAATCACTGTCTCTGAGTTCTTTAGCTCAAGGCTAGCATTCCACCACTTTCAGCCACAGCTCCACTTCCAGTTTTCTGGTAGTTAATTGGAGATAAGAATCTCATGGACTTTCCTGCCTGGACTAGCTTTGAATTGCCATCCTGAGATCTTAACCTCCTGAGCAGCTAGGATTACAGGCATAAGCCACTGATGCCCACCACTTCTGACTTTTTGCTGGCTAATTGAAGGTAAGAGTTGGATTTGCCTTCTCAGACTGGATTTGAACCTTGATCCTCAGATCTCAGCCTTCTGAGTAGTTATGATTACATGTGGGAGCCTATTTCATCATTTATATCTTTGTTGTGCCTTATGTAACTTGATCTTGGTAAATGTTTTCTTTTTACAGGATTATGTTAATGGATAAGGTTACACATTAATCTCTCTTGAAAACTATATTGCAAGGAGATGAAATATTACAATTACCAAGTTGATTTAGGAGAGTGAGATCATTTGCTAAGACATTGCATTAGAGTGTCAGCCATGTGATGCAGGGACCTTGTCTGCTCTGCTTGCTTTTCTGTCATTAGGGCCTAGTGCCTGCTGCCTTGTCCAGAGTAAGCACTCAAGTGAATGAATGGATGAAGTGCATTCTTTTGATTTTACATTTTCTTTGCTTACTCCTCTTCTCCCACTGTTTCCAAGGTTCTTTCCCTGATCTTCTTTTGCTAGTCTATCTTCTAATTTTTTTCTTGGTTTTATCATCTGTTTCTGCAATGTAATCATGTATTATTTTTTTTTTTTCATTTAAATGGGGACAATTTCATTTGGGAAAAAAGTTGCAGAATAATATAAAGATGTTCAGGAGACCAAATGTTAGCACCAGCTTTTTCTGTTACTGAAGGTGTGACCTTGAACAAATACTCTAACCTTTTGGTACTGCAACTCTGAGTTGTGAGAAAATTGTGTAGAATTGGATTAGAAATTCAACTGCTTGGCCTGGGAAGGTGGCTCAGTGGTAGAGCGCTTGCCTTGCATGCCTGAGGCCCTGGGTTCGATTCCTCAGCACCACATAAGCAAAAAGAAAAAAGCCGGAAGTGGTGCTGTGGCTCAAGTGGTAGCGCGCTAGCCTTGAGCTGAAGAGCTGAGGGACAGCGCCCAGGCCCAGAGTTCAGGCCCCATGACCGGACCCAAAAAAAAAAAAGAAATTCAACTGCTTGGAGTGGCTAGTAAGGTAACACAAATGAGGGAGTAGACTGGGCTTCTTACTGAAAGAAGTTGTAGAGACTTTGATATAGCTGGTGCTCCATTGCAGGACTTCTTGCTAGCCTTAATGAGAATGTGGAGTTACTATTAAATTTAACTAAATCAAAGTTTTGTGTTATTTTAGTTTACTAGTTCTTTTTCTTTTCTTTTTTCTTCTTCTTTTTTTTTTTTTCCTGATCCTGGAGCTTGATTGAGCACTGTCCCTAACCTCCTTTTGCTCAAGGCTAGTCCTCTACTACTTGAGCCTGCTTTTTCTGTAATTAATTGAAGACTCTCATGGACTTTCCTGCCCAGACTGGCTTTGAACCCTGATCCTCAGATCCCAGCCTTCTTAGTATTTGAGAATTGAGCCACCAACACCAACAGTGCCTGACTTTACTAGTTCTTAAAACTGACTGCATTTGCTGGACACCAGTAGCTCAAGCCTGTAATCCTGTTTACTCAGGAGGGTGAGATCTGAGGATTGAGGTTCAAAGCAAGCCTGGGCAGGAACGTCCATGAGACTCTGATCTCCAGCAAACCACCAGAAAACCGGAAGTGGCGCTGTGGCTCACGGGGTAGAGAACTAGTCTTGAGCTGAAGAGCTCAGGGCCAGCACAGTGCCTAGGGCCAGAGTTCAAGACCCACGACCCAAGACCAACAAAAAACAAACAAAAAACTGACTACATTTGAAAATCACCTGGGGGAGTATTTTTAAAAGCATTAATGCTTAGATCATGCTTTGGAGATCTGGTTACTTTTAACATGCCAGAAGCTTCTCTGCTGCTTCTAAGGAGCAGCTACGTGTTGAACAATTGATTGATCCTGCGATGTTTTCCACACCTGGGTTTTAGAGGCAAGCTTGTTTAGCAACAGACAACAGGATGGCAACAACTTTCAGCCAGAGAACTCTTGTTGCAGTGATCTTTAATGGACATTATTTCTGGAGTGGCCACTCAGGGACTTGTGTGCATTTTTCCAAGTAGTTCTTGTTGATCGCATTCTGGTCCATCTGAAACTTGCACTCTATTTCCACTATTTGTGGTCATATTTGATTTATTTCCACTACTTGTGGTCAGAGCGCATACTTGCCATGCTCTCTGATGGATGGCTTTCTCTGGGGTTACCTTTACAGTGTGTGTATATTCAGTTCTATTGTAGGTTAGTCTTTTTCCAGAGGCCCCTTCAGGAAAGCATTTTATCTAAAATCAGAGACTCCCTGCTCTTACCAGTCGCCAGAAGGCAATCTCATATGTTTTGAAATGATACACTCTAATGAAAATTGAACGAAGACCTTTTGTCTTTGCTGGCTTAAGTGGTCAAATTTGAAGCCAGACTTTGGTGGCTCATGCTTGTAATCCTAACTACTCAGGATGCTGAGATCTGAGGATCTTGGTTCCAAGCCAGCTTCGGCAGGAAAGTCCACGTGACTTACCTCCAGTCAAACCACTCAGAAAAAGCCAGAAGTGGCTCTGTGGCTTAAATGGTAGAGCAGTAACAGTGCCCAGGACAGTGCCCAGGCTCTTGAGTTCAAGCCCCAGGACTGGCAAAGAAGAAAAAAAGTCAAGTTTGAATTTAGCTCCCCTGAGATATTTGAAATAATTTTATCCAATTCACAGTGGGTTCACTAACTTAGCCCTTTTATGTCCCCCTCATTCCATCAGTGTTTGCTTTCACAACCAAAGTTCTGGGCCATTCAGACATCAGCCTTGATCCTCCGGACAAAACTCGAGAGAGGAAGCACACGTCGAGTGGAGCGGGCAATGAGGCAGACACAGGTAGGACTTGGTGTGCTTTGTTTCTCTCATCTCTGTATGTGCAGAGAGAAAGGATGAGGTGGCTTATGCTTTACTATGTATATTTTGCTGTTATTTAGAATTTGACTTGGCTCCAGAGTGAGCTTTGTTGCTCTGACCCACTATTTGACCTGTGTTCCTCATCTGTATACTTGTGAAACAGTAATAATAGTAGCACTTACAGGTTTACGGAAAGACTTAGAATAGACAGTATAAATAAGTATTCATTTTAAAAGATCTGTAGTCCCACAGGTATTTAAGGGAGTAAAATTCATCCTAATACAAAAATTCTCACCGATGAACTAACCACATGTAAAATTAATACACATTCATGCATCATTTTCTATTTAGTTGTAATGTTTATTTTTGTCCAATCAGCAAATTGCTTGTGGTCCTTTTTATTCATATTCATTGTCTGATAACTACCCATGATACATGTTTACTAAACCAAGAAAAATAGGAAGTCTTGCAAAAGATGTAGGATTTCATAGTTTATTTTCTTACTGTGCTAGACACTGACAAGTCCAGGATCAAGGCATTGGCCCCTGGTGAGGGTCTTTTTCTCGTAGATGGTGCTGTCTAGTTGTTGATAATTGGCAGAGGAGAGTGAACCCATTCTCTCAAGCCCCTAAATAAGAATCCCTTTTTCTTTTTTTTTTTTTTTGCCAATCCTGGAGCTTGAACTCTGGGCCTGGGCACTGTACCTGAACTTCTTTTGCCTAAGGCTAACACTCTACCACTTGAGCCACAGCATCCTTTCTGGCCTTTTCTGTTTATGTGTTACAGAGGACTTGATCTCAAGGATTCATGCATGCTAGGCAAGCACTACCACTAAGTCACATTCCTGACCTTAATAAGGATCTTAATTCCCATTCATGAGAACTGTGTTCTGTGGCTTAATCATCTCCAAAAGCCCACTGCACAGTTCTTTCACATTGGCCATTAAATTTCATATGAATTTTGGGAAGAGCTTTCAGACTATAACCGTCAATGGAAATAATAGCCACTCAGGCCCTTCTACTTGTTCTGGTTAACTTAGGAATTCCTAGATCGTGAAGGTGATAAGGTCCTTGATCAAAGGAATGAGGCTGATATAAAGCAAAAGTCAAGCAAAGCTTTATTTTGGACTAAGCATCAAGAATCAAACTGACTGGTCAGGGCTGTCTCTATGGAGAGAGCGACCCCGCCTAATCTCACAGGCTAATTTTTATAGAGCAAAACTGCAAACCACAAACTAACTGTAAACATGTAGCAGTTATGAGCTAATTTTACTCTTACTGGTTAAAGCAGAAGGGTTACATGTGTGTTTTTTTACTGATTGGACCCCTTCACCTGAACCTGACTCTAGTCTTTGTTTTTCTGGGCTCTGTCACTGAGGCAAGCAAGCAAAGTTTTTTGCTTCCTTCACAGACAGGGTCAGCTTGCCTTTACTGCTCGAACAATAGGTGTGGGCAAGGTCAGCTCATACTTATACTTTACAAACCAAATGGCTGCCTAGATAGAAAATGGAGTTACTTTGGCTAATGTGGGCCTAACAAAGGTATGTTTTACTTCTATATTATCTGTGATACTGGAGCAGTAGTGGTGACTGGTCCTCTTTAAGCCTCACAAACACAAGGTGTGGTTATCAACTGTGAGTGCTTTTGCAGGAAAAGAATTACAGAGAGTAGGGAGATAGTAAGGAATGATTTCTTAGTAATGTGAAAGTATGCTTGAAAGGCTGGTAGTTCATAAAGTACTGACTACCTCGAAGTTGTTGGGGTTTCTGGATTTTATTATCCTAATTAGGCACCAATTGGGACCTTGTGTGTGTGTGTAAGTGTGTGTGTGTGTGTGTGTAAGTGTGTATGAGTTCTGAGGCTGAGCTCAGGGCCTGGGCACCATCCCTGGGCTTTTTTCACTCAAGGATGACACTCCTATTCTTCTACTTCTGGCTTTTTTGGGTAGTTTAATGGAGATAAGAGTCTCACAGACTTTCCTGTTCCCACTGGTTTCGAGCCATGATCCTCAGGTCTTAGCCTCCTGAGTAGCTAGGATCACAGGTGTGGATCCCTGGCAGCTGGTGGGATCTTCTTTTTGTGGCCCTCCCCAAATGGCATGATGACTGCCCAGGTGTGGGAATCTATATGCCTTTACTTTGGGGAAGGTGAAGGTAGGCCTGTATGTTTGATCCTTTTTTCTATTCCCCATCTAGCAGTAGAAGTCATTACATCTCTTGAGGCACATGCTTGGCCTTGATATGGGAAGTACTCTCCCTAAGGAGGATGTAAGGGCCATTATCTTAAGGTCCAGGGTGAGGGATCATCTGGGGATTATGATTCTACTTCTGTGGAGGGGAAATAGATTCTTGTAGCTAGGGACATTTCCTCATTTTTGCCTAGTCTACTTCTCTGCCTACTTCAGACTATTGGAAACTGGGCTAGAAAGGCCATTCATATTACATTCTGGAAAGAATTGGTTTACATTTTACCTGTGCCCTGAAACTTTATGGAAGGCTTAAGTTAAACAGACTAATTTAGTGGAGATAGTAGCAGCATTCAGATAACATAGCAGTCAAGATGTCATAGCATTCAGGCTATGCCACGGTTCTTGTTGGCTGCTGTTAGCCAGGTTTAAGTGAAAATTAGGAGCAAAAAGCAGAATAGAAACATTTGGAAGTTATCTGGCCAGAAAACAAAGTTGTAGACAAGAGAAGAGCATAACTGTTAAAGGGATTGCAGTTACTAGAAAGAACCTAAGCACTTACCACTGGGACAAAAGAGGAGATCCCATGAGATCATGTTGGGAATTGTCCACACACTGGCATCAGAAGCTTTCTTGAGAAGAAGGAGCTACTAGAGTGCCCTGTAATTACAGAGCTGCTAGTGAAGAAAATTTTCTGGGTTCAGCTGGCTGATTGAGCTATAGTCCAAACAGACCCAGCTTCTGCTCAAGCTGGTGGCAAACTTTGGTGCTGTCCTTATACCACAAGGTGCTGGCTTTCAAGCAGGCAGGATATGGGGTTCTAGAAGCTTCTATCCAAATTTCAGAGGAAGGCCTGGAAGCCAGGCAGTATGTAAGTATGTAATTTGGATGTCTTTCAAGTTGGGGTTAAAATTAAACAGTAGTAAAACTCATAAAATTATTTTCATATTTCTGTTAAAATGTAAATATCTTAAGAAAAAGATGTTTCTAATAAGATTTTTTTTTTTTTTTGGTTGTGGGGCCTGAACTCTGGGCTTGGGCGCTGTCCCTCAGCTCTTCAGCTCAAGGCTAGTAGTGCTCTACCACTTGAACACAGCGCCACTTCCGGCTTTTTTCTGCTTATGTGGTGCTGAGGAATCAAACCCAGGGCCTCATGCATGCAAACAAGCACTCTACCACTGAACCACCTTCCCAGCCCCAATAAGATTATTTTTAAGATATGGATAGAAATCAGGAAACTAAACAACTTGAACAGTTATAAAAAAACAATTTCAATTTCTTTTTTATTTTGGTCAAAATCTTAGCCTTCTTAATCAGTATAAGTGGTACTAGAATAAATTCACTTATTGATGAAGAAAATACTAATCTTGAAGTGATTTCCTTTGTATTCATCTCTTCTATTAACTTAGACATGGAATGTATCTAGTCAGAATTTAGTTTTCTTTTGTAGTGGCCAATTAAACTAAAAAGTACAAAAGTAAATCTGTTTTTATAAATACAGTTTGAAACATGCGTCAGCATGAATTTTGATTATGTCTTTTCTATTAAAAAAAATACACTTGGCTAGGTACTGGTGGCTCATGCCTATAAACCTAGCTACTCAGGAAGTTGAGATCTGAGAATTGCTGTTTGAAGACTGCCCAGGCAAGACAGTCGTGTCTGAGAATCAACCCCCCAAAAATTGGAAGTGGAGGTATGGCTCTCAAGTGGTAGAGTGCCAGTCTTGAGTGAAAAATCTAAGAGATAGCACTCAGGCCCTGAGTTCAAGACCCAGTACCACACATGCAACACAAAAATGTATATTGTGTACAAACATGAACTTAAAAGAAGAATCAAATCACTTTATTTGAGCATTTCACCCTTTCTTAGCTTTTCCTCATCCTGTCACCTACAGGCTAGATCATCAGAGGGTTGTTTTACTTTCAACATAAAGAACAAAGTTAGGGAGTTTTTCCTCCCTATGCAGGATGGTTTCTGTGAAAAAATATTGTCAATCTTTTAATCCAGGAATTTTGGAAATTAGCCAAATCATATCACAGGATGAATGAAAATTTATCCCTTTTTTTTTGTCACAGTTGAGCCACTTAGCTCATAGGCTGAACTTTTGCCAATTACTCTGATTCAAAGTTTGATACTGCTGTGTTTGTTGAAGTTCTTTCATTCCTGAAGAATAACAAAAATGATTTTAAATTATATAGATATATATATACATATATAAAACAATGTTTTTAAAAATTGTTTTAATCTCCATAAAAATCTCTTCCTTCCCAGCACGGTATAGAGTAATAAATTGTTAAAGCTGGATGAAATAAGCTTGAGGGGTCCCTCAGTGAAAAGATTACTCTTGTCCTGTTTTTGCTGAAGAAATGCAGGTGTGGTGGTCAGGTGACTAGCCCAATTTGGTCAGTTATCAACAGTCTGGGCTATAACTTACAATTATAGGCATTTACATTAAAGGCTCAATGCAAGTCCTAAATCATGGCAGATTTGGAAAGGATTTTTAAGTGAAAAATGTCAAACTTAAAAAAGAAAATGTTGTATCTAACCTAAAGGTAAAAATAACATTCACAGAAGAAGTGGAACTGGAGGACAGTCCATTAATAGCTGTCTTATGAGGTCATTTTCAGCTTCTCTTCTCTGTTTTTTTAAAAATGTTTAAGCAACAAGAACAAGAATCATATCTTTTAATAATAACCATTTAATCATAATACTGTCAGTCCTTAGAACTGTTAAAAGTATAAAGTAAGGATGTATATTTATATGAGGTAAAACACATGTTCAGGGAAAGGAAACATTTC